TCTTTTTCATGCAATCAGAAAATCTTTTACTGTCTCTGTAGGTCATGGATCCGTCACTTATCATAATAAATTGTAGTTAATTAATTGCCTTTAGTGGCTTTAGTGAAGGAGAATAAGATAATATCTGTGGAACTTTCCTAGTCTTATAAAAGGCTCTCACTAATAAAATGCATACATTCAAATGCAAAATTAATAACATTAACTTTTATTTTTTTATTTGTATTAATATAGCTATTACTACAAGATATTATTTCATTACTGTAACTACATATGTATTTAATTTTGTTTTCCATATTTTTTCAAAATAACTTTTTCTTTTTATTATTTTAATTTACTTTATAGTCAATCACTGTACATCACTACAGCTTGTAAAATGAATTACTCAACATGAATACACTTCATACCAATCCAGTTGAAGTATACACATCATCAACAGATAATCCTCCATTTCCATGCCCCTTAAATGCTTTGCCTCTCTGTTTTTCTCCTTGATTCCTTTCTTCTCACTCTGCCCCATCTCCCACCCTCCTTTCATACTGAATCCAGTATCCATAGCCATTTCCCATGTTTCTTTATCTTCTAATCTTTCTGTTTTTTTGTTTTTGTTTTGTTTTGTTTTGTTTGTTTGTTTGTTTTAATCTTCGCCATTCTGATTGGGGTTAGGTGGTATCTCATTGTGGTTTTGATCTGCATCTCCCTTATGATGAGGGATATGGAGCATATTTTTCATATGCTTCTTGGCTTTTCTTATGTCTTCCTTAGAGAGTTGTTTGTTCAGATCATTTTCCCATCTTTTAATTAGGTTGATCTTTGGGGGGGGGGTAAGCCTCTTGAGTTCCTTGTGTATTCTAGTTTTCAGTTCCTTATCTGAGGCACAGTTTACTAAAATATTCTCCCATTCCAAAAGTCATTCATTCACACTAATTATTGTATCTTTTGCTGTGCAGAAAGTTCTTAATCTGATGTAACTCCACTTGTCTATTTTTGGGATTATTGCCTCTGCTTTGGAGTCTTATTGAAGAAGTCTTTGCCTACTCTGATGTCTCCCAAAACCACTTTTATTGCTTCACTTAAAATGTTAAATTGAGGCGTTTTCCCAGAAGCTTATTTTTATTATTAGCAAAAATAGAAAGCTATATTTCTCTCTCTCTCTCTTTTTGAAAAATTACCAGAGGGTGCATGATCTCACCAGGTAAAGAGGAAGAAAGAAAAGGCACCCCCTAATGGTGTGGTCATGCAGCAATCCCTTCTCCTTCATTTCTCTATCCTGCCAGGATTTGGGGCATCCATGCACAAAAGCTGCCAGGCCCAGGATTTAAACCATGATAGACCATGTGGAATCTGGCTCCCTTAACCACTAAGCTATAGGCTGGCCCAAAAGCGGCATTTCTTCAAGCCTTCATGGCAAAGTAGTTATCTTTATTCAATTTATTTTAGGCATTGCAAAAAATATTTATGAACATTATTAAACATAATATTTTTATAAAAGAGTAGGAAAATAATTTTCACTTCTGTCCCATTTGTTAGAAGACACAAAGAATGTTAACCCAATGTGGCACCTTGCCTAAGAGTGACCACATTACATGATGTTTTACGCGGAGTGTTTTTCAGCAAGATGAGAGTTGTCATACAAGGCTCTGAAGTCCCAAATGTAATTAAGATCTTATAATGAGCCACATTACATAGGGAAATGCTTCTGACCCATTGTGAATGCAAAAGAAAAAAAAGAGAAATGTATAATATCAGAACACTCAGGTTTCATTATGGACTAATTATCTTCCAAGTTCTATTGTTGTTTTAATGCTTCAAGCTGAGTTGGAGGAGGTTAATGTTGGATTAATGTTCCCAAAGATGGTTAAAAACAAGTTTGGAGAAAAGTGAAGTTAAGATCAGGATGGTTGTGTAGGTGTTTCATAAAGAGATGAATAAAACCTGGTCAGCAGTCCTAATGCAGTAGGGTATCATGGCAGAGAAGTTGCTTAAACAAACTTGATGTTCAGCATCACATGCAAGAAGTTAAGTGGTGCTGGCCTAAGACCAGCACTAGCAACTCAATAATGGTGCACTCCAAGTCACCCCACTTATTCCAACTGACAAAGAAAATTGTCAGCATTGCCTTCTTGGCATTTTTAATCAACTTCTCAATTATTATCCTGGCAATAATAATAATAATAATGTAAGCCCAAACAGTAATAGTTGTTAGTATTTATGAAAGTAGATTGTCCCAATGTAAAGCTGTCCAATAAAATTTTACTACTCTATAAACATTTTGTTCTTTTAATATTCAAGGAAAAAATTAGTGACCTCTTCAAAATAATCAGGATAGTCAGAGTTCCTTTTATGTTTGGAAAAGGTTTCTGAAACATTAAATCTTTGTTGGATAAAAACTTTGGGTTGTAGGCCAAGTTGCAGTTTGCAGCAATTTCAGACATCTGCTTTCTGATGTTGCTGAAAGCATTCCCCCATCACATTAAGCCCAGCTTTGGGGTTGTTCAGTGATGTAAAGTTTATTGAAACATTTTTATATTTGCTTTCTTTGACCACAATAGTCATTTTATTATAACATATGCAATTAAACAGGAACAGTGTAAAAGCAGTGAAATTGGTAGGATTTCCATTTAAATCTACTGAATGCTGTTATTGTTTTCGTTTGTGCCCTGACTGCTGTTGACAAAGATCTAGAAATGTGAGTGAATTATCTAGGGCAATAGAGAAGCTTTTTTTTGTTTTGTTTTATTGCCATTTAATATTATTAAATATCTAAAGCTAGTTACAGGCCTCTTGGGGCCCAGATCTCAGAGTTCAAAATGAACTTTCTTTGGTTGGATCAAAATTTAATGTTTGACCATGGCACTGTATAGAAGTATGGAGTTTAAGGGGACCAGCAGTTAGCGTAATGGCTATGTCGCTGCACTCCCATGTAGTCAACCGCGGTTCGCGTCCCAGACCCGGTGGCTTAGAACTCACACCGGGAGCGTGTGCATGCATGCCCAAGATCCCGAGAGGAGAATGGAGGAGAAGGGATTGCAGGGTGGCCATCCCCCCTAGGGGGTGATTTCTTGCTTTCTATCTCTCTGTCTCTGTCTGTCTGTCTGGTGAGCGCACACGCCCTATAGCAAAAACCTTTCCAAAAAAAGAATAAAAAAGAAGTATGGAGTTTAATACAGCTCTGTTCAAGGAAATGGTAAAGTGAGAAAGTTTCAAGAGGGATATGTAATAGGGAGATTCCCCTGTTACTAAACTATTTATGGATGCTTTCCTTGATTTTATTAAAATGGGAATTGATAGAACAGAGGACTAAGAGCTAGGAAAAATTGAGGGAGGACAGATGGATGGTACCTGTAGTTCTACTCAGTCATCAAACACACACATACACACGTGCACACACTCTCTCAAAGTCTTCCTTGAGTCTCAAATTATTTCCTTGCTTATGCTGGCTTTTTCAAATCTGGCAGTCCTCCAGTGAAAATGTTCACAGGTGGAAATGAAAAGAGCTGACAGCAAATCCAGAAGATCAATACATGTGTGGGTTTGTGTGTGTGTGTGTGTGTGTGTGTGTGTGTGTGTAGACTCACTGAAGTGTACCTGAAAATGCTAGAGTCTCAAAATAACAAATTGCATGAGGTGAATGTTCACAAATGAGAAAATACTTTTAAGTTCTCAACCATGAGAATACCACGAATAATTTTTAACACAAAACTTAGAGAAAATATTTAGTATAATTCAATAACCGAGTTCTTGCAAGATATTTGTGACTATCTCTCAATGCTATGCAAATATTTGTGGACTAGTGTGTATGAGCATTTGTGAATTTCTTTCTACAGAAGGTCTTATTAAATTCTCAAAAAGGTAAGATGAAAACGTTTCAGGGGCTGCTTCTTGAGAGTCTGGTAAGGTATGAATTGCCTCAAGATCAAAGAATTTAAGCCCTTTGACTTGCAAGTCAACCAAAGGGAAGGAAAACAGAGGTGAATTTGGAGCCCCTCAGGAAGTGGAGGGGCTCAGCCCTCTCCCTGTGACTGGAGAAGGAAATGCACTAGAGTCAGGAAATATTATGACAGCCTAGTCACCAAAGGCTGGCGAAGGATCCTTTGGAGTGGGATTGATGGGTGGAGAGGGGAAAGAGGAGAATTGGGCTTGATACCAAAGAGATGTTTTCAGCATCAGTCAGCTGAGAAACAAAGTGGGCTTCCTTTTTCCTACATGTTCTTCCAAGCATCATAAATCTTTGGCCTACTCCCTACCTACATCCTGTAGAATGCAGCCAGAAGAACAGCCCCACTGCACTCTGGAACCAACCATCCTAGGGATGCAGCTAGTCAAAAATTCCGGCTGATGTTTCTTGAGATCTCCCTTTTTGATGTTTCTTCAGATCTGCATTGAGCTGCCCACAGGGGCTGCTGTTCCAGGATTATCTTAAGAATCAGTCTTTTTAATCAGGCAGTTACAGTCACACTAATACAGTCACAGACAACTCTGATCATTGCCTTAGCTCCTCTGTTGGAGGTTGGTTTTGGTTGACTGATCTCTGCTGGGGTCGCTCCTCCATTGACTGGGCATGAGCTGGGTAGTAGGGCAGTATCCTGTGTCTCATCCTGTTTGAATGAGTAGACTATCCCAGGAATATTTTCCCATTGCAATGACAGAGACACAGATCAAAAGAAACCCTCAAAGCCTTGTAATGTCTACTCTTACAACTGGTATGCCATCATTTTGGTCTCATCCTATTGGCCAGAGCAAATCTTATAACCAAATGTGAAGCCATATAACAGGAAATATATTCCATCTCTTTAGAGGGAGTACCTATAAAGTTATTCAAGACCTAGATTCAGGGCAGGGTGAAGAATTGGAGGTAAAAATGCAACATGCCTCATCTCTGTTAGTGAAGTCAGCTTCCCATACAATGAGTATCATGATGAAGCATACCACTTACCAAAATTATGCAAACACTGCTCCATGCTTGTGCCAAAGAACTGCGCCATGTCTGGTTGGCTTTGCAGGTCTGTGTAACTCGGCTGATAGCTGGATGATCGTGCCCAACATCAAGCAGAACCACTACACAGTGCACGGCCTACAGAGTGGCACCAAGTACATCTTCATGGTCAAGGCCATCAACCAGGCAGGCAGCCGCAGTAGCGAGCCTGGGAAGTTGAAGACAAACAGTAAGTGCTATGAACTTAACAGAGTGGTCAGGTCCCTTCTGCTCTCCTTTCTGCATACTCTACCCTCTTCCTTTTCCCTTTCTCTATCTCCTACATTGCTATATACATTGCTTTTTGACTATATCAAAAAGGAAACTGAGAGCCAGTATGGAATCGTGGAATTTTAGTTAGGTAATTCTGGTTCCCAAAAGTACCTATCCCTTCATGGTTTTGCACCTCAATCTTCTCTCTTTTTTTTTTAAGAGGCATTTTTGCTATAGGACATGTCCCCTTGCCAGAGACACAGAGACAGAAAGAGAGAAATCACTCTCTGGGAGGATGACCACAATGAAATCCCTTTTCCTTCATTCTCCTATCAGGACTTTAGACACACACACATGCCCTACATGAGTTTCAAGCCACCAGATCTGGGCCTTGAACTGAGGTCAGCCATGTGGGAGTCCAGTGATGTAACTATTACGCCATCTGTAGGTTCCAGTCTTCTCATTTTTTAAGTAAATAATCCTCAAGGGGTTCAAGTGACAAATATGTGCTTATAAAACCTGACCCATAATAGGTAGTCTACACCTTGAATATAGTATCATTTCCCATAGCATAATAGCATATTCATTATTCTTTCTTCAGAAATACTTTATTACATTCCAGTTATCTGTCTGGGTCTATATTTCTCCTTCAGAGATGGTTCTACCCTTCCTCCTCCCATCTGGGAGACATTTAGCAATACACAGGATATACAGCAATACCCACTCTCTAGAATGATCTGGCCTATGTATGCGTCTTAGTATATCATCATCTCCCTCTCTGTCTCTGCCTAAATGTGTTTTGTTTTATCCTGTCTTCTTTCATTCTATCTTTTAGATCTAGAAAGATTATGTTATGCAACATGGTGTTTCTTTGCGTAAGACCTCTCAAGAGAAAACAAATTGGACTATGTCAATATGGTACCTTGTTGCCAGTCAACAGGAGCAATTACCTGCATGTCAAGAGGAACCCTCATTTTACCCATATCCCTGGTTTCCCAGTACATTATAGAGTATGTGTTGATTCTAAGGAACAAAAGTGTGTAAAGAGAGCACTGGATTATGGATGAGAAAGCTAAGGCTCTGTTACTTAGTACTCATGTGGTCATGTGGCTTGTTTCTTCATATTTTTTAAACAAACTTTTTTATTGTGGAATAATTATAGATTTATAGGAAATCTGTTGATAATTCAGAGTTTTGTATCCCTAGTGCCCCATTTCCCCTATGTTAACATCTTATATAACATTGATTCATCTGTCACATCTAAGAAATTAACTGTGGTACTTTATTAACCAAACTCCAGGCTTAATTAAGATTTTACCAATTTTTTCACTAATGTTCTTTTCCTATTCCAGAATCCAATCCAAGATACCACATTACATTTAGCATTTCTTCACTTTTAAAATGGAAACATTTTAGTTTGATTTATGAGCTATTAAAAAGTCAAGCTCAAAACAATTCTAAGTATGTAAGAAAATACAACATGATGGCATGCTTTTTTATAACAACACAATTCAATATCTCTGCACACTTGGATCAACAGTCTTTGATTTGTGACTGAGTCATCATATGTCCAATGGCAATAAAAAAAATGGAATTAAAGGGACCAGCAGTTAGCGTAATGGCTATGTTGCTGGACTCCCATGTACTCGACCGAGGTTCCAGTCCCAGACCCGGTGGCTTAAAACTCTCACCGGGCACGTGTGCATGTGTGCCCAAGATCCCAAGAGGAGAATGAAAGAGAAGGGATTGTGGCATGGCCATCCCCCCTGG